TATCTCCTCTTCTGTGTCCTCCCTTAAAAGGAAAGTGTGACACGGATCAGAAAAGGTGGAGCTTTGCAGGCTGAAGTATATGAAAACCTTCCTCTTCAAGGAATGAGTTTAGCAGGATCACTGGGGCGTTTTGTGAAGATTTTGGACAGTGCTTCACCCTGGTATGTGATGAGGTTTTGTATTTTCTGCAGTCAGAGTAGTTTTAATAGCCTGTAACTGAGGTAGATGTGTTGCTGAAGTCTGGCATCTTTTTCTTCTGATTAAACTTTTGCTTTAAACCAGTGGCTTAAAATTATGTTGATGGAAATAGTGATTAGAGGCATAGATTTATCTAAAACCTTTCCGAGCATGGAAGTTGGTCTTATTTTTTTTAGCTGTAGCCAATTTGGTTTCAACTGGAAAAGCTTTTTAAAAGCCTGCTATAAGAACTGAACTCTTGTAACAAAAAATAATATATATTTTTAATGTTTTTCCTTCGGTGACTTCCAGGTGGAAGATTTTCTTGGAATATACTCCTCCAAGTGCCATGGGAGTCATAAGTTAAAGACTATAAGAGGATTGGTCTTGTGTTTATCCCGTGATGATAAAAAAAAAAAAAGTGTCCGTTTAAGAAAGCAATGCTTTAATACAGTAGCTTGTACTTTATATATGTTTTTCTACATATTTAATAGGTTGGAAATATGATGGAAAATGAAGTTTTTGCTTGCTATGTAGACTGCAGCTATGTTCCCCAATTCACTGTTTAAAGTATGCACAATTTTTGTGTTTCTATCACTTGTGGAGTTGTTGGATTTCTTTCATAAATATCAGCTAAGCACTATGGTTCTGATTAAGTTATTCAAAACTTAAAGTTCGAAATAATGCCTAAGCTTTTTCAAGCTTTTCTGCCCTCTTGCGAACTCTTTTCAGTTTGTTTGCAGCACATTCATTCTTATCAATTATTTATAGATGCAGTGAGACAGACTTGAAATTCTTTGGTGTTTTCAATGAATAATTTAATGCCCTTGTTTTCATTTAATCTCTTCTCTGTGTAGTTATGTGCATGGTCACTATTCTGTTGTTAAACTTGCTAAGCACATCAGCAAATAAAACTCAGCCAGTAAGTAGGTTGCCCAGATCATGACCAAAATGTCTTTCTCCCCATGGAACCATTACCTTGAATTCTAGCTTTTAAATCATCTGTGTTTGCATCAAACATCAGTCATAACAAATTAAAATTATTTGCTCGCTGGGTTATTAGGAAACATGTCTCACAACACACAATTATTGATCTTATTCAATTAAAGCTCTAGTTTAGTGGCAGCTGAAAACTTCCTTGCTTTTGCTAGGGATGATTGTGTGGCTAAGTGTTTTGTGAAGGAAGGAGGAGTTGTATGGTGGGACACAACATCTCGATCATCTTTTATCTTGGTGGTTACTGATGTTAACATTTTGCAAAGTGGATACTTGGCGTGTGGCTGTAGCTATGTGCCCAAATGATTCCCAGGTGGTTCTTTGGGTATCCCTTCATGGGTGCCCAGCACTGAGCCCCTGCTGACCTTAAAATGGTAACTGCAGAGGTTTTGGAATAGCAATTAGCAGAAACAATGCTTTAAATGTACTTACAACTCTTTCATCACTTCATGTTCCTAATTGAGCTCTGGCATGTGAAAATTGGGTGTTTCTTTAATAGCAGATGTCTTTGGCGTTACTAGCTTTCCTCTTAGCCTCAATTTCTCACCCGTAAAAGGTAAGTTGCATTGGATTGCTTTTTCTTGGTATTCCAGAACATATCTGTCATGCAGTGTTTTATAAAAGAAGATGAGTGCTTCAGAAATGCCGATACCAACCGGATAAATGTGCATTCGCCAAAGTTTTTTTTTTTTTTTTTTTTTTTTTTGATGATAATGACTGTATTTTTGGAAGCAGAATCATGTAGGTGAGAAGAGAATTCTGAAGATCTCTGGTCCAGCATCCCCTGCTCAAAGCTGGTTCAGACAGATCAGGTTGCTCAGGGCCTTTTCTGTTGGGGTATTTCCTAGGAATGAGATGTTCCACAACCTCTAGGCCCTTTTCCTATTTTTGACATACCTTGTGACTAAAAATAGAGGGGGGGGGGGAAAAAAAGTATCCAGGTGGAGTTTGACACCTTAGTGTTCATCACCTCTTTTTGTGGGTGCCTCCGAGAAGAGTGAGGTTTTGTCCGTTTTAAACTTTCCCATCAAGTAGCCATAAGATAATGATAAGCAGCAAAAAGGGAGAGAGAGCACTAAGATCTCCCCTTTGCTTTCTCTCCCCTAGGCTTGAGAAGAACAGTGCGCTCGGACTTGCTGCGTACGTCACGCTGCCTGCAGCCCAGCCCAGCGTCAAAGGGAGCATTGAGCAGCAGCTCTGCAGGTGGGAATGCTCCATCCTGTGCCCTGAAGGGAGGTGGGCATTTTCCAAAGGGTGGAAAAGTTGGATTAGCAAAGACTGGGAAGGGAAGAATCTTAATGATAACTAAAATTCTGGCCTTTTTTCATCTTTGGAGAGATTTTCTGGAATTTTGTGTTTGTCTGGATTTTTTTTTTTTTTTTGGTTCTGACTGTTTAGCTCAAAAGAGATGAATCATGTCTAGTTATCCGTATGGCTTAGATCCTTCAGCAAGTGAAATGAGACCAGCTGTGAGTGGTAACTCTGTTCTTATATTTAGATTATAAAGAGAATATAAGGGAAAGTATCAAATCAACCTGTTTTCCTCTTAATTTCTGGGCAAATAAACCCAAACTTGTTTTCTGGAAACTTGCCACAGGGCATGACCAGGACCAGTGGCATCTTCGGAGATCAGGTTCTGGCTCAGTGTTTCATGAGAAGTGTGAGCCATTTTAATGGGCCCTCTGGGTTTTCTCAAATGCAGTTAGGCCTGTTGCTGTGAAAAACACATGTGTTTGGAGGCTGATGGAAATGTGACCAAATTGTCAGACTTTTTAGGTTCCTTTCTTACCTTTTTAGGGTACTAAGGTTTAGGTTTGTGCAAACTATCATGTTACATGACTGTCATAGGGCTTGCCTAATTGCTCTGCATCATCCTAAGGTGGCCTCAAATGAAACTTTTAACCACACTTAATTCTGTTTTAGTTTTGGGCAGGTGTATTTAACCTTCTTTTTTATAGTGTCATGCATTTGAAACAGAGCCTTTGTTGTTTTTATCAAATAAAAACTAAGACTTGTTTTGAAATACTCTGTTCTTGTTCTTTTAGAGAATGGGGTTGCTGTTCCCTTATATCACACCTGATCTTTCAAGGTTTTGGTGAACATTGGCATTATGTGGATGTTGGTTCTATGTGAATTAAGTAGGGGTGCCTTTTTAGGAGTCTTACTTTCACACAGCATCAGATGAATGCAGAATAAATGAGATTTAAATAGCCTCAAGTTTTAAACTTGGAAATGACTGGAGTTTGATTACTCAAGTTGCAATACAATGAAATGAGTTTTTTAGACTTTTTTTTCCCCTTTCTTGTGTGTAATAGATTCCTGTTACATGCAAAAGTTGGGAAGGAGCAGAGAGCTTTTTCAGATTGACATGACTTTTATCATCATCTCTTTAACTGGGCTATTTCTTTTGTTGCTATGGGAATATTGACCGCAGATCCAGTTTTGTCAGCTCCTAATGTGCCTGAAGTTATGGGTGGGGGGAGGCAGGGAGATTGTGGCTGGGATATAGAAGAAGCTTGTTCTGGGATTACTCTAGAAATCCAACTATAGCACTGGGTTTTAATGTGACACCCATGGGACATGGACAAATAGCTAAGCAATTACACAGAGTTCATTTTGTGTGGTTGATGCTGTGTTACTTGTGTAGAAATTTGCAGTTATAGCACATGGAGGTGTCATCATCTTTGAGCGTTTGTACAGAAAATGGAACAGGGGGCGAATTTAAAAATATGTCCTTTGAGCGTTTGTACAGAAAATGGTAGGAACAGGGGGCGAATTTAAAAATATGTAACTGCAAGAGATAATTGCACCATGGAAGAGGCAATAAAGGGGAAGTCCAAGATTCCTAACCATGCCAAAGAATTTTGGGGAAGTCACTGTAGGCTTTTACCACTATATGCAGCACAGTAAACAACACTGATCATTTTTCTCCCTAAAACATGAGATACTTTGCAACATTTTTAAATGAATGTTCAGAGTAAATGTGCATTCTTTTGTAAACTTGGCATTTTTCCTCCTTTGGGAGTAACTCATATTATGTTCCCGTCTTATTTCCAACTATTGCTTCCAGCTGCTTTTACCATTCTTGCTTTGTCAACCCCCATGAGAACTTTGTTTCAAACTTGCTAATTTTTGGTCCATATAAATGATATGTTCATGCTCAGAAAATGCTTCATTGGGGTGGAGGATGAGCATTCTGCCTGGGAGGGATGCTTTTCTCTGCGCAACAGCAATGTCATCTGAGACAAGCTCAGTGTATGCAGCGAGGGGGAGATGTTGGAAAGAGAAATTAATTCCAATTGGTTGGTTGGCTACTAAACTTCCTTTTTGGAAAAAAGATCTTTTCCTAAATATTTTGTTACATAAAAGGAATTGAAATAGTAGCTATGAAGCTAAATATAACTTTGTTCTGCGCTTTGGGATGTGGTCTCAAATGATCTTGATCTTCCTTCAGGGGAAGTGAAACCAGTACAAGTATCTGTTGTGGAGGGTAATTATAATGTATTTGATTCTAAATTTAATGGATTAATTCTAAACTTAATGGGCAACTCCATTAGCTCTCAGATCCAGTAGCTTTTGTTAGATTTATTTATATTATCGTTGTTGTTGGAGGAGTGGGCAAGTGCATGAGGGAATCTGTGTCCAGGCCTTGCAACTGCTCTAAGATTCTGGGGTGCTGCTGGGTGACCTTCTTGAGTTGCAGTAGTTGTTAGTGCCTCCCATGGTGCAAAGTGTCCTTGCTTTTTATCTGGTGCAAGTAATGATGGTTTTTCTGAGCCTTCTTCATCTCCACCTGTCCTGTGCTGTTTCAGGTTTCTATGGGCACCATGCGGTATCGAAGAAATGGCAATTTTGAGAGTTCCAGGCTCCTTTATTCCAGCATGTCCCGCAGCATAGATGTGTCATGCAGTGACAGTGTGAGTATCAGGATCATTTTTGAAGAGGTGTTTACTCTTGGAAGTGGGTCACAGTGATAATGAATTAGGTCATGTGCAGACAGGAATAGGCTAATTGATTTGTGGCAATTTCCCCTTTTATAGACGAGTTGTTCTAGCCAGCAACCCTTCAAGCTTTAATGGCTCTTCACTGAATTAGGAAAGGTCTAAGGACAAGACCTGTGGATAAGGCTTGTGGGTGGAAGTAATTGATTTATTGACAGAGCTTGTATAGTTGGAAACCATTGACAAGCTTTGTGCCAGAAAAGTCTATCTTCAAAAAGCTTAATCTGTTTAAGATCTGAAGGCAGGTCATCCTATCTGATATCAGATGTAGTTTTGGAATTACTATCTATAATTTTAGTAGTCTTTTGTGACCTGCGTTCTCCAATCAGTGCTTTCTAGCTACCCTTCACCAGCTGTTTTGAAAAGAGAGACTCGGAATAATTGCACCAGTTTTACTTGTTTAAGTTGTCCATGCTTTTACTAGAAGTAGAAATATCACTTTTTTTCTTCCAAGGGTTTGGTCAGTTTCATTCAAGAAAACTTTAAGAAGAGAGAATGCGTCTTTTTTACAAAAGACGCCAAGTCAATGTAAGTGGATACTTTTGCTTTACAAGATTTGGGACTGGGAAATAAGAGTGTTTCTATCTCTTAAGTCATTTCAGAGGTGAGGGAGGCACAGTTTTTCTGGTCTGAATCAGGCAATGCAACCTTAACTCTGTCCTGTTTGTGCAATTCTTTATTGCTGTTTGTTTGGTTAGGGCTGGGATGTTCTTCAATCATTGTTGAAAGAGAGGTTTGATGGTGGGACACACACCACAGAGTGCTTTTCTGAGCTCCAGGCTGTCTCTGTAGCTGATGTAAAAAACTGGAAATGTAAGTTTTAAAGGTACTCTGCAAGTAACTTCATGCAAAATCAGAAAACCTCCATGTTAACTTTGTCTGGATGCTTTCCAACCACTGTTTTAAGGAATTTGGTATAAAAACTTATTTGCAGCATAACTCTGGTGATACATAGATACTTTTAGGGATACCTTACCAGCACTAGTGTCCTCAGCATCTTCATTCAGCTCTGAAACTGTGAGGAAAAATGCCTTGGAGACAGAGGGAGGGGAATTTGTCTCATCTCAAAGTTTTGCTTCATGTTCCCTTCTGCCATTAAAAATGAGATATTTGGAAAAGGGCTAATGAAGGACACAAAGAGTTTTATCTCTAAATATGCAAATTTATACTTGAAACCTACAGACAGCAATTAGATGGCAGCAGCTGCAGGACCAAATCTTTTCCATGAACAGGAAACACAGGGATTGCTGCAAGTTGGTACCTAAAGGTCCTTGAGGGTCTTCAAGCCAATAGGCTGGATCATTTGTAAAGCATTCTGATTTCTGCCAAGTATTGAACTTTTTTTGCTGTCCACTGTGCCACATGACTCTTCTAGTCCTTTTGTAGCATTAAGAGACTATTGTTCTCTGCTTTTACTTGTATATGGATCCTGGAGCATCTTAAATGCTGTCACAAAGGCTCCTTAGGCTAAAATTTGGTTGAATGAGCAAAAAGGAAAATAAAGTATTTACACCAGTTGGCAGATGCAGTATCCTTTGCATCCTTTTCCTGCTCTGTTGTAGAGCTGAACAAAGTTCTAAGCTTCTAGTGATCCAGCTTGAATTGTGGTAATAGTGAAAGCTCATATAGAAAAGGCACATCCAAAAATGTCAGCTGGTTTCCCAGCACAAAATGTTGTCCAAAATGTGGTGTTCTTCCCTTCCCAGTGTGAGCTATCACAGAGTCAAATTTTAGGAGGAGTCTCCGCCTGTCTGTGTACTGTGCTGCTTGAGCAGAAAGACATTGCACTTGTTCTGCTGGTCATACCAGGTGTGAATACTCTGTCACTTGTCAATAAAATATCAAGTACTACCAGAAAGAAGTGTGCTGCTTTCTGTGCTCGAGATGTTCACTGTGGGTTTTCATGCTCATTCCCTTTTCTACCAGGGACAACTTGTGTAAATGTGGATACCCTGAAAATCAGCACATAGAGGGCACTCAGATTAATAACAGTGAGAAATGGAATTACAAGAAGCACACCAAAGAACTTCCTACTGACGCTTTTGGGGACATTCAGTTTGAATACTTGGGGAAAAAAGGAAAGGTAAGTGATTGTGTTGAGGATATGTGTTAAGGCCCCTCTCATGTGTACCATATTCAGCATTCTGGAACCAACTGAAGTCTCTGGAAGTGTGGGTAAGGTGAGGCTGAAGTAGATTTATTTTAATGGGAGTGCAAAGAGTTTGGCTACAAAGAAGTCCAGCTGGTTTCTCAAGCCCTGATGTTAAGTAGGAAAAAGTGGTTTCTTTTATTTCTTTCAGAGGCTGTTGATGGGGGTGGAGAGAGGTTATCTGATTCCAGATATGATGTAAGAATGAGTGAATGAGGGCAAAGCTCTCTGTGTGTACCTAGCTGTATTTTAATTGCCATATAATGCAATTTGGAGTGCTTGGGGGGTAGGAAGATACAGGGAAATAATTTAAACTAGACCCATGATGACCTCTTCAATGAGATTCTGCACCACAAGTGTATCAATGTATAGCTGCAGTAACCATTTTTGTGGTCCTCATGCTCAAATCTGGTATCAGTGGGGAAGAAGTCAGCACCATTTTAGCTCTCTGTAGCAGTACCTGCACTTGAAGCCAACAAGATAAGCTCAGGTGCTTAAATGATCAGCTCCTGATGAAGAAGTTTTGTTCCTGGCTTGGATTTCAGTGTCAAGACAAGATTGTTTCTTGGAATGTCATTTATTTCCATTCTGATGTAGACTGACTTGTGCTTGGGAGAGAAAATAGTGGTAGGATGCGCAGCGGTGCAACTCTTTGGTCTGGTGCATGTTACACATGCATGTGTGTAATACATAAGGTTATATAAGGTGTATATATAGATGTATGCATATAAGGTGTGTATATAACGTGTATATAAGGTTACGTAAGGTGTAAGAGATTTCATATCTATAGAGGTGTAAAATTTGTCCTTTGTGAATCCGTAGACTTAAATACGCGTGCCTGCCTGATACTCCAGAAAATTGTCACTCTCATGCATAATGACTGCAAACTTTACAAAATATATTTTTAATTTCTTATCAAGTGGGGATAATGTCAAGCTTAAGGTAATAGGAGCATTGCAGATGGTTAGCAGTAGATAATAACAAGTTTTACATTCAGCACATTATTTCTCAGAACAGAACAGTGATGAGTGCAGTGGCATAAATGTTAGATTGTTAAAGATGACTTATGCTCTCTTATTTCTGCAGTGTTCTGCAATCCCTTCAGAGTGCAAGAACACTTCAGTTGCATAATCCATGCAATCTGAAATGTGCTGCTTCTGATGCTTTACCAACTTCACATGCCAAAAGAACATGTGGAATCCCCTGTTTTGAAGATTGGATTAGTGTCAGGTGGTGCTTGTGTGAATATAACACATTATTTGTGTGAATTTCGAAATGCATCACTTGGGCATACCAGGAGATGGCACCATTGTATCTCAAAGAAACGCCGTCAGTGTTTAGAAAGTGGCTGAGCTGAGAGTTTCACCAAAGTTTGTAAAGCCTCACCAAGGATGTGGAGTTAGGAGGTTCAGGACTTGCACTTGCTGCTGGGTTGAATGTGGCTGAGGAGTAACTGAATTACATTCTGCACCTAGGCACTGTGATGATGTTTAAGAGGATGAGAGAAGTTTTACAGCCAAGTCAAGTCTATTATCTCTTATTGATTTGCTTTATATAGGTAAAAACAAATTATTCAGTTGGAAACCTTAACTGTTGATGGAACATATATATTCATACAGGTCCATTGCACTTTGTCCATGTCATCGGTGGGGCTTAGAGTCTTGTGCAGGGGAACTGCCATCAATTTACAGCACTAATGAGCAGCAGGAAGCACTCTTGGTCCTGGCAGACTGACAGACTGAGATGGGGATGGAGCTAGAGGATTCCCTTGACATTGCCCTGTTAATAGTGTGTACATGGCAGTGCCTTTTGTTGCTGTGGGCTTGGCTCACTAGCTGTGCAGAGCAGTTAGTTTCTGGCAGGTTCCCCGCTCTCCCATGGTGGGTTATGCTCTGCTAAGCACCCAAGGCTTCATGCAGGTGGTGTTGCGTGGAGCAGAAGTTGTGCAAGTCCATTAGTTTTGTGTAGCTGCCCGGCTCTTCTAGCCTTGCTCTGGGATGTTAGCTGTGCTTCTCCAGGCCAAGTGCAATAGTCCTGGGAACCCTTCCTGGAACAGATGAGTATTTTACCCGGGTTCAGGGTAAAAGCCTGTCAGGATATTGGCATTTGTTTCTCAAATTTATCTTTTGCCCCACTGTGAACACTAGGCATTGCATACAAAATGCACTGCAATTCAGGTCCAAGTTAAACCTTTGCATTCCTGGTGTGGGTTCTATAGCCACGAATGTCTTGCAAAAGGCTATTGTGCTAAACTATTATTAGTGATGAAATTGGGATGGGGTTTTTGAAGAGCATAGCAAAAAAGTTAGAGAGCCTTTTATATAAATGGAGCAGTGATGGGTCCATATGAGCACTTGCCCCCCCAACCCCCAAAAACTGTTTCACTGTCAATTTGAACAGGTTATTGTAATGCATTATGCTTAAAATGCTGTTATATGCTAGGGACACCATGCACAAGAAATTCTAGGCTTCATATAAGAGCTGTAATTCGTGATTGACTCCTAGCTGTCGCTATTTACCTCTCATTTTTTGGTTTTGTCTCAATCAAGTACATCCGTTTGTCATGCGACACAGACTCTGAAACGCTCTATGATCTCATGACTCAGCACTGGCACCTGAAAACCCCTAACTTGGTCATTTCTGTCACTGGTGGTGCAAAGAACTTTGCCTTGAAGCCCCGAATGCGCAAGATATTCAGCAGGCTGGTCTACGTAGCCCAATCCAAAGGTAGAGACCTGCAGAAATGTCTGCGTTGTTTCATTGCTTCTAGTTACTATAAGACACAATAGGAGAGGAAAATGGATAACATAAGCTTGGGTAGTTGGCACCTGGACCTTTTCTATTGACTTGGTTACCTAAATGGCTGTGGTTTTAATAATGCTACTAGGTGGGTGAAGTAACTTGTTGAAAGTCTATTTTGCTGGTGATTTGGATGATACCTTCTGCATCTCCAAGTCCTCAAGCTTAACTATATCCTTTTGAACATAGGGTGGCAGGATTCCCTGGACCTCATGATGTCCTATGCTAAACTTACATGCGAATTTTGGTCTGCTGCCCCTGCCTTTCTGGTTGATGGAGAAAGAGAGGGGCAGGGGCATGGTCTACCATGTAGCATTGTGTCTTGCATTTCATCTCAGACACGAGCAGTTGTTTTTAGCAGCCTTGGCTGCATAAGCTTGCTGGAGAAGAAGCTCGAAGGGTCAGAAGCAAAAGCTCAGTTTGCTTCTGCCTGCTTGGTGCACTTCAGGCAAATGTGACTTAGCAACTTGGAAGTAATGGGGTTGAGAGCTAGTCATTGGGAGTGCTTGTGGTAAAGTTGTGCAGCATACCTTCTACATTTAACTGGAGAAGCAATGCCTATTCTGTGGCCTCAAGAGGGAATGGGTGTGTGGTATCTCAATTGTAATATTCTACTGCCCCATCTCATATTGCTGCTCATTATCCCTTTTGTCCCCAGGGGCCTGGATTTTCACTGGAGGCACACATTATGGGCTGACGAAGTACATTGGGGAGGTGATCAGGGACAACACCATCAGCCGGAGTTCTGAGGAAAACGTGGTGGCCATTGGCATAGCAGCCTGGGGCATGATTTCCAACCGCGAAAGTCTGATTCGCAGCGGTGATAACGATGTAAGAAGCATGTAGGGTTCTCTGCTGGGGAAACAGGGAGAAGCTTCCTCTTCAAATTGTATAGACTGTGTTCCTGATTGACTGCTGTTGTCAGCATTCGCAGTATCTATTGGCATGTGGTGACTGAATTGAGTGGGCAGTTGAGATCTGTGCTTGTACTTTCTGGTAAAGCAGAGCTAGGCAGATTTTTTTTCCAGTGCAATGCTTCTGTAGAGGCATGTCTGTTTAGCCTGACCTGCTGTGTCCTAAAAAATTCAGCTGGAAGCCAGCTTTTCCTCAATGTACATACCTGTGAGATGAAGCACCATGTACCTTTTCCTAGAAATGGAGGGAACTTTCCAAGGTTATTCTAGCTGTTGTGAAATTTCTGCACAGTAGCCCTCAGTAGGGTCTCTTAACAGCTAAAAGTGTTAGATCTGCCTCTGCTGTTAATGGTCCTGCTCATCCAATAGTATTAGTACCATCTGTCGGATATACTAGTGTTGCTCCCTTTATATTTACTCTACTAGATCTTATAGAGCTTGTCTAAAAATGCATCCTGTTAAATGTGTGTGTGTTTTTTTTTTTTTTTTTTTTTTTTTTTTTGCTGAGGGGCATTGAAAGTCAGTTTGCCACAGAACTATTGCTTCTCACAGGTGGAAGAAGCATCCTGGAATGATGACTGCCAGTGAGCAGTGTCTCAAGTCAGGAAATTCATAATGCGTAATGTGAACCTAATATGAAAACCCCTAAATAATGGGGAATAATTGGCCATGAAACCAGCTGTCATTACCTTGCTCTGGGTCTCTTGTTAAACACATTGCTTTCGATTCTAGGGGTACTATTTGGCCCACTACATAATGGATGATCTCAAGAGAGACCCTCTCTATTGCCTGGACAATAATCACACCCATCTCTTGCTGGTTGATAATGGCACCCATGGGCAGCCAACAACAGAGGACAAAGTACGAACTCAGTTAGAAAAGTACATTTCCGAGCGGGTTATCCCAGGTAAGTGCACGTGTCAGGCTGGAGACCTCCTTTTCCTTAATCTTGCATGCTCTGGGGCTCATTCTTGAATTTTCTTTCTAGAAATGAAAAAAGAGTGTGTGGTAGCCCTCGGATGCAGAGCTAGAAGGGAACAGTGCACTGTCAGGGAGGACCAGCCTTCTTGACAGCATCACCTATCCTCTCATTTTCTTTTGTTTGTGTCAGTAGCCTGCTGCAGTCCTTTTCTGGGATACAGCAAACTATCTGTTTCAGTGTTGCAGTCCTTTCCTCTTCTTGCTTGGCTGTCTGTTTTGAAAGCTGGCCCTTGACTTTTGCTTATTTTCCTCCTGGAATTGAATACCGGGTAGCTCAAGCACAACTGTGCAGGAGCTGAAGCTAAGCTTTTACCAAAGTAGTCATTTGTGAGTGCAATTGATCCATGAGCAGCCTGGGCCTAAATCATCTCTTTCTCTTACTCTGCCCCTTCTTTGTCAAGGACTTTGATTTGTCCTTCTTAGCAGAAAATTCTTAAATCACTTTTTGACTACCTGCTTCAGCTGAAGCATACTTACTGCTGGTTATCATAGAGCACCCAGACTTAGGAAATTCGGTGTATCTCTTAAAACACCAGCTTCTAGAGCCATGGGTTTCTTGAATTTCTTCAAGTTGGAAAATAGAAGGAGTCAGAGGTTGCGGATCTTCAGCTTGCATCAAGATCTAAATTCAAAATGCTCTAACCAGTAAGTAAACAGAATAAAATTGCATGTTTGAGGGGACTTGAGAGCTTGCAGCAATTGTGACTGCTGGGAGGAGAAAGCATTTTTTGGAGAATGATGTCAGTTAGGACTGACACAAGTTTAGGAAAGCATTAAGAGAAAACAAATTTCCATTTTAAAAAACAGAAAAGCTGCTAGTAGGGGAAATGATCAACAGTAAACTGACATCAGTGTCTCCATGGACTGCTTTGGAAATTCTTTAATTGTATGGAGGAAAATGAGTTGTTTGCATGCATTTTTTGGTTGAATCTTTCTCCCTTTTTGTTTTGACTTGTTTAACAGAATCTAATTATGGTGGGAAGATCCCAATTGTATGTTTTGCCCAAGGCGGAGGGAAAGAAACTCTAAAAGTAAGTTTATTTTTTCATTTATTTTGAGAATACTAGGGGCACTGTTAGAACATTTAAGATGTGTTACTCCACAAGCAACCTGATAAAGTGGCCAGTCCTACTGTTCACTGAAGCTTGTCTGGCTCTTGCTATAGACAGGCGCTCTTTGCACTTGCATTTAAGCTTTGTTTCAGTTCAAAATTTCCATGCCAAAGTGTCTGCCTCAGGTTGACACTGTTGGAAAACTTTTGAGACAATCTTTGTCAGCTGTGTAGCTCTTGATGCATTTGTGTAAGTTTTGGGTTGGAAAAACTGCCTTGGACGTGCTCAGCGGAGATACATGTTTGCTTTATAGTACTCTGGGAAAGCCAGCTGATGCTGGAAATATCTGATTTAGAGCTCACTTGAAGCTACTGGTTACTGTCTGAGAGCTGGAGGCTGCACTAGCTGAACAAGAAGGCTCTGCTTGTGCAGAGCCTAGAGCCTGTTCTGAGCCTCGAAGGGAAGGAAGCAGGAATCAAGTTCAAGTAGATGACAGGCAAGAAGATGAACAGAAAGGAGGAAGATGATTTCAAAGTTTTGAGAAACAGGATGCCTAAGTGATGCTGAAAGGAAGAAAAGGGGCAACTTAAGGTCTGGATTAGGGTTAAATAACAACGGTTCTACTACTTTCTCCATCCTGGCAAGAATCAAGAAAGGTGGCCTGAACAAAGAGGGTGAGACGGCTGGGCTTCAAAGGGATCTGAAATCTGGCACTGCTGAGAGGGAACAGCAGTGCTGGGTGAGGTGGAGACTGGTCTGACCAGCAGTGAGAAAAGAAACTGGTAGTCTGGGCTGAAGGACTTGGAGGAGATGACCTGGGAAAAGGCTCTGGGCTTTGCAAGAGTGAGGAAGAGAGCGTGTCAGCATTTGTGAGTTAGTGGAATTGAAGCAGAATGATCTTTAATAATTACCTTTTTAAGAGGGGTTCCTGGTTATTAATCCTTCTGACCAGAATTATACTTTTAATATTGATGCTAATGAAATCAGTTTGTCTGTCGGGATGACAAACAACTTGAGTTCTAAGCATAGTCCCTGGTATTGCCTCACTGCTAGCACTAATCAATTAGTGCAAACCACTCTGAAATATCAGATCATGACCTCAGCCTCTCTGTGGCTTTCCCTGGTTTTCCAGTTCCATTCACATGCTCAGTTTTAAGTTTGCCCACAGGAAAGATCATGGATGAATAGAGATCCTGAGTTAAATAAGCTAATCAGAGGTTAATGGAAAGCATTCATTCAGGGGCTGCTGATGTGGCAAGTGGCATGTTGAACATGTTGACCTCCTCTTGGTTCCTGGTTGCTGGCATCTGAGAGAGGATTTGGCCATCACTGTAGGATGTTGTTTCTCCATCTCATGCAGCATAATTATACAGGCAGCCTTATGGATTGCATGTGTATTATGGAGAGCCCTCAAAGCATTAGCAAATGCTGCATAACACAGATATTTATTAGTTATCTAATCAGAATGAATAAAAGCTGTATCAAATCAAATGCATAAACTCCCATCCATAAGAAACCAGATGACAGTTCAAATAGGATTTGTGCAGGTCTCTTGGTTACTTATCAGTGCTACAGGAACAGTTGGACACCAGTGCCTGGCTTCCTGATGGCTTGGAAGTGAAGTCGTTGAAGAACTAAAGTGAATCTCTGATCAGTGTAAAGCAATGCAGTTAGTGCTGGGATGCAGGTGCTTTTACCTGCTGTGCCTTAGTCCTAGCCGTGTCAGCCAGGAAAGACATCTCCTTTCTTTTGTGCTTCATCTTTGACAAGAGGAATCAGCTTTAGCAGAGAAGTGAAATGTTTCTGTTTTGTTATAAAACCCCTCCAATGTATGATGTACACTGTAGCTGGACCACTCTTAAGAAAACCACTTTGATCTAGTTGTCAAGAAAAAATGTATTTCTTGTTTCATGTATTGTCTAATTGTAATATATGTTTGTAACTTGACAGCTCCAAGTTAACTTATTTTTCATGAAATAAACTCTGTTTCTCTAGACAGCTGATAGATGCTCTGTCTTTCCTCTGGTTGATCATCACCTGCATTGATTTTTCTTATCCAGTTTACTGGCTGGCAGCTTGTATTTCAATGACTGTGTTCTTGATGCCATGAGGCAAAGGAAAAATGTCTGTTCTTATGGTCTTTGCAGCGTACAGGTCAATGTTTCTTCTATCATCTTCATTCTTATGGTTATGTAATTGTATGATATTATGTGTCAGAAACCACCTGAATGGCTCCCTGGAGATTTTGAACACTATTACAGTCCAGTAATCTCATAATACTAAGGAAATAATTTACATATAAATTATGCAGATTGTATCTCGAACAAATAAAGCAGGAGCCCTTGTACTCAGCTGTGGTGTTTCTTAAGCAGTGCTGTGCCATGGAAGTGGCTGTGGGTAAGAAGGGTTGCAGTGCATCCTGAGTGCCTCTTCCACTTGGCAGTTTTCCTGCTCTTCTGATTGATAGGTTGTGATTTCTGTCCGTCAGCCTCTGTGAGACTCCTTTACAGTCCCGTGTCATTTGAGGGATGCCGTTTTAAGGAGTTAGCCTTGATAGGGCATTATTTGGTACTAAGGAAAATACCGTTGTGGATCATGGGTTTCCGTTTTATTAAGTCTAAGCCAAATCTGAAACTTCTAGGCATTCTTCCTGAGTAGTAGCCGCAAAAACAAGTCATGTTCTGTCCCTCTGTTTCCCTAGTCTATCAATGTGGCCATCAAGAGTAGAATTCCCTGTGTTGTGGTGGAAGGCTCTGGCCGGATTGCTGATGTTATAGCTAGCTTGCTGGAGGCGGAAGGTGCTCTTGCTGCTTCTTGTGTCAAGGAGAGCTTACTCAGGTTTCTGCCTCGCACCATTGCCAGGCTCTCGGAAGAGGAGACTGAAAATTGGATCCAATGGGTAAGTGTATGTTACCTCAGAGTACTGCTGAGGCTGAAAATGGTGAGGGAGTGGGAAAAGAGGTCAGGACCACTCTGTGATTTCAAATTTATTAGTGTTACCAAATGCTAAGTACCACTGTAGGTATTAGCAAGGAGTCTTTGTTGCAAGATACCTATGAAGTAGTGTTTGACAGGACTGAAAGAAAATCCCAAACACCTTTGTTTTACAGGGATGAAAACAGAAGGTGGGTGGCTGTGTGCTTTGGGAAGGGGAGTTTTGGCGCTGGTTTTGGCTCTGGGCAGCCATGTTTCATAATTGCACCCTCATTTCCTCTGGAGGGAAACTCTGCCTGTACACCAAGTCACACCTCACCACCCTATGTACGCCAGGAAGCTGCTGCTGTGCCAAGAGCCTGTGTTAGGCTGGCCAGAGGTAGAGCAGACAGGACTTAGTCACACGTGGGATCACAACGGTGATTACTGTGAGAGGGTTTTTTAGAGCCTGGGGGAACTGGAGAGCTGAGGACAGCACCTCCTGTCCTGAGTTGCTTGGGCCAGCCTCAGGAAACCATTGTGTCTGTGATTACCTGACCTTCCAGAGGGCCTCTTTTTAGATGCGTTTCTGCCCTCCTTAATAGGGGCAGGAAAAAAAAAAGAGCTCGGGAAAATCTAAGTGTTCTGTTATTTTTCAGAAGTTTTGTTCCTAGCAGCACTTCAGTTCAGTGAACAGTCCATTAACTTGTGCTAATTGACTTTCTCAATTAGCCCAATGCTTTATCCTGGGATCCGGCTCCATTCTCTTTCTTTGGTCAATTATCCCCAGCCCACTCTCACTGTTCTAGGGAGGGATCATGTATTTGAACCTCTGCTCAAGTTCCTAATGACTGATGGAGAAAATGTTACGATGCTTTCTGCATGCTTGAGGTTCTGTGTCTTAGCTTTTCTTCCCCTTTAGGCTATTTCTCAATGTACCATTGCAGGCTGTTTACTGATCCCAGAGAGGGACTCAAGCCCTCAGACGTCAGCATGTAGTTCCTTTACTATGAACCAAACAAATCTCCTGTTGTTGAATTTTCATGGATTATTGTTTTTAATAAGGCCTAAGTTAAAATCTTTTGTCAGAGCTTGATATAGGACATCCGTGGGGCATCTTGCAAGTTCACCCTGCACAGCCTGCTTTGAGCAGAGTTTGGTTTAGATGATCTCCAGTAGTTTCCTCCAAATCTAGTGATTCTGTGAATCTAATTAAGTTTAAAGGAATCAGGACAGGAGCAGGACATGATCATTTGTAGAGGGAGGCCTGCAGAAACTGAGTCTGAAGCCGCCTTTTGAACTTTGGAGATGTGGTCTCCAAAACTAAAGAGGAAGAACTGCCCTGTGAGCAGGTGTTGAGCGTCTGAGTTCCAGAAAGAGACCAGCACTGTGGAGTGGGGAGTTTCTGCCTGCAGTTTTCCCTGATTGGTATGATCAACTGACCACACTCCTCACTGCTTCTGCTGAGCTTCTGTGGAGCATATCTCATTCTTTGGTTAAGAGTAGCTAGTAGCTTCACAAGGATAGAAGTGAGAAATCTCTAGAGAGAAATTATTTCTGATGGAGCATGAGCAGGTGGAAATTATCCTCCAATATACTGTTAGACATCTGTTGGGCCTCAGCACAATCATTTTTTTTTTTCCTTTTAGCAGGAGTTTAATTTCTGAGATTATGTCTTGTTTTTATGCCCTGCATAGGGAGGAATCAAATATTCGCTGCATGCTTGGAGGATAATTAATTTTGTACTTTATTTTCAAAATAAATTTCACTGTCTGTTTCTTTCTGGACTTAAGTTCTAACTACACGTGGCAATAGACCTGATGAGAGAGAGAGAGAGAGAAGTGACTTTGCTACAATGTGATGGGAAACTTTCTCTAAAGATATGTCAGATAATTAGTGTGGTGGTTAAAATCTAACTTTTCCTTTTCGTAGATCAAAGAAGTCCTTGAGAGCCCTCATTTACTCACAGTTATCAAAACAGAAGAAGCTGGTGATGAAATAGTGAGCAAAGCCATTTCTTTTGCTCTGTACAAAGGCAAGTAATTGTTTTTCTGTTCTTTTTTTTTTTAATTAGATGGGGGTAAAAAGTAGGTTTGCCTGGGTTATTTTGAATAGTGAGGTTGAGCTTTAGGCAAATGCATTCAGGCTCCTCAGCCCATGAGATGAGGTGAGCTGTGCCGTGAACCTAGGGCACATTAGTACTCTTGCAGGAGCTGGCAATTTCTTCGGAAACCTGAAGCAAGCTGCCCCTGAAATAGAGCAAAAAGAACATGCACGGAGGCTGTTAGTAGCTGTATCTCTGTGCTGCAAACTTAATCCTCACTGGTCTAGAAACCACTTGCTTTTTGTAGCTTTGTGACACTTGGTTTGACTCATTTCTTTTTCTCCTGCACAACACCTTGTCAACACTGTTATTCATGATGTGAAAGAGTGGGCGTTATGAGAGAAACTAAAGAATATGTTTATGTCCATTATGGGTGCTCTAGCTTTTGAGGTTGGTCTTTCCCAAAGCAGGGCCACGTCTCCAGGGGGTAAACTGCTGCCACAGAGTAGAGCTTGGCCTCATCTGCACTTGTGTGGGCAGCCTGCAGCAACACTGTGGGACCTGTTAGCGTGAGTGAGATGGAAGTTCAGTCTAAATCATTAGCAAGGCCTTTGACAAGGCTTTGAGGATCATATGGTTGGTAGGTGGCCTCTTTGGGAGGAGCCCTTAGCCAGTAAACAGTGAATGTGCACGGCTGCTTCGTAACTTTTGCAGACTCCGATGATTCGCAGTAGCCCATCGCTAGCGAAGCCTGGGCTCCCTACTGTTGCAGCAGAGCAGAACTGCCTCTCCACAGAGGTTGCAGGGCTGATCTTGCTGTCCTGTCTGTGCATGAAGAAAGCTCCTGACCATTACAGCCCCCTGTTATGTTGTTTTTGTCAGCTCTCGTTGAGGATCCTGCTGAGTTTCATCTGTGTAGTGACTGTAGGACCCTGAGAAGTCCATGGGAAAGACGATGCTGCTTTTATTGATGGTGTGCTCAGAGCAGCTTGGTCATGCCAATTCAAGGGCAACTGATCTAAGATGTCAAGAGCTTGGTGCTTGTGTTTCTTCCCACTGAGCAGTAGAGGCTGTCTCCATGTTGAATAAAAGTGAGCAGCAGGTCATGTATGCATGTGGGACATAAATGCATTTCTAAGCCTCCAATGTGTTGTAAAACCCAGTTACAAGGATGCCTGAATCTGGAGAAAGAGGCTGGATAAAGGTCTTACTGCATGGTTGGAAAGAAAGTGAAGAACAGGGATTAATAAGTATGTCAGGAAGCTCCTCTGTCTTTGAGCTTTTGCCTAGAGGATTCTTCCTCCTGCAGCTTTCAGCACCAATGAACATGACAGAGATAACTGGAACGGGCAGCTGAAGCTGCTTCTGGAGTGGAACCAGTTGGACCTGGCCAGTGATGAGATCTTCACCAATGACCGCAACTGGGAGGTATATACCGCAGCTGTCTGAGCAGAGTCAAGGTTCAGGGGAGAGGCTGGAAGAGACAGGCATTATAACAACAGCCCCGCTCTCAGCATCTCAATCTTCATGAGGATAAGTAACAGCTTTCTTCCTTAAATTGTTGTAACCAGTTGCAAGAGTTATGTGCTCAGAGGAGCTGTGGTGTTTCCTCTGGAGATATTCTGAACCTGTTGGGATGCAGTTCTGTGCAGTGTTCTCTAGGTGACCCTGCTCCAACAGGTCCCTTCCAACCTCAGCTGCTCTGTGATTCTGTGCCCATGCCGGAATCTAGGCCATCTGCGAAAGCAGCTGCATATGGAGAAGAAGGATTCTGATAAGAGCTTGGCAACATAGAGGAAAATGGGCAAGCAAGCAGCACATGTGGTGTGAGCCCCACTAGTCAATCTTATGTAATAAAAATGGGTGCTCTCTGAGCAGAAGCCAGAACTGGGAAAGACATGGTGTCCCTGCTTGCATAGATTGGTCCCTCCAGACTTCCATTGGGTGCTTGCCCAACCTGACAAGCCATAAGTCCGTGTTAATTCTGAACTGCCTATTTACTCCAGCATAGTTTGCTTGCTAGAAAGCAAATGTCTTATTCAGAGGGTGCCAATTCATATCTTCAGTGGTGTCAAAATAGTCAGGAAAAACTATTCCCCCTACCCCTAGCAGTATTAAGGCAGCAAGCCTTGTTTGTGTGTCGCATTAGCAATACAAGGGCAAAATTTACTGGATATAAGCAGAAGGCAGGAGCAAGGGTAAACTGGGATATGAGCAGAAGGCACTATTGGACAGTATCAGTCAATCTCTTCAATGTAGAAGTTCTCAGCAAAATCTGGTCAATGAACACTGAGAAATGTTGCTGTATAGTGCTAAGTCTTTGGTTGTTTATTTACACTATTTCAAAATTTTGAACTGCTCAATGCATTCTAGGGAACAGGAATGTTATCCTTGGAGACTGTATGTAGATTTGAAAAGCAGCATGTGGTGATGCAGACAGTGGGCCTAGAAGAAAAACTGAACTTCAGCCAAAATTTTTTCTTTGAGAAGCTGGTAGCTGTAGGACTGAAGTAGACAGGGATAGGGAAACCATTCATGTGGACTCTGGGAGGGCTCTATCTGCTATCCACATATCTCATACTCCCTAATACTTGTCCTTCTATTTCTTCCAGTCAGCTGACCTTCAGGATGTCATGTTCACAGCCCTAGTGAAAGACAGGCCCAAGTTTGTTCGGCTCTTCTTAGAAAGTGGCTTGAACTTGAGGAAATTCCTTACCACAGAGGTCCTGACCGAGCTGTACACCAACAACTTCAGCAGCCTGGTGTTTAAGAACCTGCAGATTGCAAAGAATTCCTATAATGATGCGCTCCTCACATTTGTGTGGAAGATGGTTGAAGACTTCCGAAGAGGTGTCAAAAGAGATGACAAGAACAGCAGGGATGAGACAGGGATACAGCTCTCGGTAAGTGATGTACAAGCTGATTCCACTGCAAGTTCCCTTAGAAAAGGAAAAGATCAAAAAAAAAAAAAAAGGGTTTCTGATATAGCAAGATTTACTTTAACAATTACCCTATTTTACAAATGCCTGTTAGGACAGTGTTGTTTAACTACGGAAGAGGTGATATTGAGTTGATTTTTTTTTTTAATCAGAATTATCAGAAAGCATGCTCTAGTTTTTCTTGTAATTTACACCAATGTGAATTCAGAGTCCACAAAATAGGAAAATGCAAATGCAAAATGTGTAATATAAGTTGGTGAGAAACAAGTGGCAGATAACCAAGGAGGAGGGAGTCAGTGGGCTGTCTGTGACTGGAAGAAAATATGGAGGAGGATGTCAGGGTAAGAATTTGTTCCGTCTGGAAGCAGATGTCTGAGGAGTTGTGGCTTTTTCTTTCAGGATCAATGTCCCATCACAAGGCATCCGTTGCAAGCTCTGTTTATTTGGTCAGTTCTTCAGAACAAGAAAGAATTGTCCAAAGTCATCTGGGAACAGGTGAGTTGAATTTTTCTTGGTCTCCTTTGCACTCAGCACAGTGGTATTCCTTGTCTCTGGTTTATAGGACTTTGAAGGCTCAGTTCCTTTTTTAAATATAAAACCACAATAGGTAAATATTAAGTGACAGTTTTCATGTAGGTTTAATATTACCAATAGTGTGTTTTGGTGTGGATTCCATACTTGACCTTCCTAATGTCAAGTGTGAGTCAGCAGACCAAGCTAGCCTTTATTTACATGTAGTTGTGTGTTCTGTACCTATGTTCAAGCCTGGATGCTTAGTTTTCTCCCATTCCACAATCTGTATGTGTTCTGATCCCAGGTATTTGGGTTGAATCCATCTTGAATTGGGATTAGACTGCATATTTTGTGATAACTGTATGAAATACATCAATAAAAATCTCTCAATTCTTATCTTGAGTGTTTCAGGAAGATGTGGGTGTTTGACAGGCCACGAGTTTTAGGGTAATTAGCCCACAAAGCTAATGCAAGCTCCTGTTTATGGTGATCTGCCCTTCTGAAAGGGAGTGCATGCTTTCTGCATGTGTGTTTTGCACAGAATGTACACAGTCTGGGTAGATTCAACTGACTCCAGGCTGATGCACAGATTTAAAAAAAAAAAAAAAATCACAGGAAAAAAGACCTGATTTTGTGAATCTCCAGGCAGAAGTGCAAAGCTGATGCCTAACCATTAAATGTGAACTTTTCAGACTGATCATAAAGTTGTTATTAAAGCAATATAATGGTAGCTATTGTTTTTGTGAACATGGATCTTCATTTGCTGATCTTGACTGAGAATACACTGAACAACTGTGCAAAAGAGGCTTTTTTAAAAAAAAAAAAAAAAAAAAAAAAAAAAGGCACCAAATTATTTGCAGAGGGTTTTGTGTGACCTAACTCTCTTTCTGTAGACCAGAGGCTGCACTTTGGCTGCTCTTGGGGCCAGTAAGCTTCTGAAAAGCCTGGCCAAGGTGAAGAATGATATTAATGCTGCTGGTGAGTCTGAGGAACTTGCAAATGAGTATGAGACAAGAGCAGTTGGTAAGTGCCTTTCTAAGTCCTTTGGAAGTTGAATAGGAGTTAGATAGAGGACAGGAAACTTTCACTGCAACTATTTCCTTGGTGCCTAGTTAGCCTTCAGAAACATGCAAATGAAAGTGAGCATAGACACCAGAACAGGAATTAATTTGTAGCACCCACTGTTTAAGAAATTTAGGCTCATCTGTGCTACAGCTCAATGTGGGACCTAGGAGGGAAATACAGTGCAGTGCTGCCTCTGCAGCTTTATTGCACGTTATGGCCTTGTCCTCTTAAGAGCCTAATCTGCAGCTGGAAAACAGGCTCTAGAACTGCAATTGCTTCCCAAATACTTTGCTGCCATTGCTAAAAGTCAGACTAGATGACTGTAAAGTTTTAATAGCCTGAAGGTAGAATAAGAAAACTTCATAGAAATGTTGGTTGAAATGACCCCTGGGGACCGACCTTTTGCTTGAGGTGGAGCTATCATGTAGGCCAGAACAGTTCAGCCAGGCTGTATTTAGCTGAACCTTGAGAATCTCTAGGTGTGGTTATTGTTATATTGCTGCTAAAAGCAGGTCATGGTTGCTCCTGTTCTGGGGCTAATGGAGTCTAAACTGACCTGTTGAACCTCTAGCCTTAATACTGTTTGTGTGGATGTATCAGAGTTATTGCAGAGCTCTATCACTATCCACTGAGTAATCGGGCTGGTTCTGATTGTGGGAGCTGACTCTCTAAAGGGCTACACTGGAAATGTCTCATACAGAAAATCTCATGCTTTACAGGTTGAAAACTGTTTAACTATATATATATGTGCAGGTATCTATCTTTCTTTCAGGTAACTATGTCCTCTAGGTCTAATAATTTAGCAAGATGTTATTAAGTGAGCAGGTGCCACTGAATTCTGCAGGGAAATTAATCAAAATTTATCGGTGTATCACAGTGTACCTGGCAATGCTAGCTGAAGGTATTGCTGGATGTGGTTTTGGTAGCACAGCTGTTTGTGAGGGGCCTGGGGAAATAAGCTGGCTGACAGGAGAATTTCTAGGGAAGGTGGTGTTGCTTTTAAAAAGTTCTGATTGTTCCTCAGGGCAGCAGTATGTTGTGTTGTCATAGATCCACCAGCAAAGCTACTTGCAAGAGAGGAATGTGCAGAGATGGAGACAGAAATAACTTTATCAAGTATTGCAGATGAAAGCCTGTGCAAGGAAACTGGTCTGAGATTTCATCCCAACTTTTTATGGGTAGCACTCAAAGCAGATGGGTCACAGGCTTAAAACTTAGGTTCTAATTGCTGCCTTCCCTGCAGATTTGCCCTACATGTCAAACTTTAACTCCACATGTATTACAGGGAGAAGAAATTTGTAGCTAGACTAAGAACATCATAGCTTTTCTGAAACTGCCTTGTTTGCAGTGCATTTCCCAGACTTAAAAGCATCATTCTCCTTTTCTCCTTTAACTCTACTGGTAATATGGGACTATTGAGATTGACTATAACCAGGGCAGTGCCAAATCAATGAAAAAATGAACAGAGATGTGTAGAGTCATGCGAGTTACAGAACCTTGTATTTTGCCTCAATTTTTAGTGCAGAATTGAGGTATTTCTGTCTAAGCTTATTGAATATTACTGTTTTCCATCCAGACATGAATCTGTGTGAAAGCTTTGTATGTGTAGTTGGAGTTGTAAAGCAATGTGCACAATGCTTTACAGTGATAAAAGTATGGAAAGAGCTTGTGTGTGTATATGAATATTATGTTTTTGAAGGCATTGAAGACACATGTAACCAAGTGAGTGGGAAACGTAAGTCTGACCTTGTAGCTCGTGTGTGAGTGATTGTGTTGGAAAATGCAGCAGGTGCCAGATGAATGAGTGTTAGTGCTAGAGCACTGGGCTGGGAGATCCCTGTGTTTTGAGCTGTGAAACTGTGGCTAAAAGGGGACCAGGGCAGATTTGTTCAAGTTGTTTTCTTCCCTTGCGGGCCTGCTGCTTTCCTGCAGAGTTGTTCACTGAGTGCTACAGCAGTGACGAAGAGCTCGCTGAGCAGCTACTGACCTATTCCTGTGAAGCCTGGGGAGGGAGCAACTGCTTGAAACTAGCGGTGGAGGCCAAAGACAAACAATTCATTGCACAGCCAGGGGTGCAGGTAATAGCAGTGAAAAGATGGCACCCGGGTTTCTGCAACTTATGATCTGGGTCATTCTAAAGAACATAAAGTGAATGTTTTTGTTGGGAAAATGCTGCATCCATGTGAGTAGTTTGTGAAAGGCCATGGCTCAGACATTGCCTGCTGTGAGTACAAATGCTGAGCTTTGTAAAGGAGTGAAGAAGCCATGTCTTGCAGTATCCTTAAAAACAAATGTTTGCAGTTCTGTGAAATGTATCCCAGAAAACACTGATTGTGCCTGGACAAGGTGCCTAGCTCCTCCTGCTAAACTAGAAAGTAGCTGAATTGCCAACACATGCTGAGTCAGGAGGGGAAGGTTTGATTTCCAGCTATAAATCATAATGAGTTAGATGATAGAGCCTGCCTGAACTGACTGCTCTTGGCACAGATCCTGTGCACATGCAGTGTGGATTCACAATATGGTGTAAAAGTACAGTACAAGATCAAAGTTTTACTTTGAACTGTCCTGTAGAGAGGATAGCTGGATTAAGCAACCAGCATATTCTGATGCAGAAAGCTTTCTGTATTGTTGAACTGGTAACCCCGATTATTATTTTGTTTTAAATCTCAAGAGTTTTCCCTCAGCCAAGTGTCTTTTGATAGTTTTCCTAGGTTATTTTGTTGTTAAAAATGAGAATGTTTTCTTCCCTACAGAATTTCCTTTCCAAGCAGTGGTATGGAGAAATTTCAAGAGATACCAAGAACTGGAAGATTATTTTGTGTCTGTTTTTCTTCCCTTTAATTGCCTGTGGTTTCATCTCATTCAGGTAATTAACTGGCTTCGCATTAGCAGAAGTAAAGCAAGTCAGCATAGTGTTAGAATAGTGGAAGAACTGTAGTTGGAAAGGACTTCTGGAGGTCATCTAGTCTAGGCCCTGCTCTAACCAGGATCAGGTTGCCCAAAACAGTGTTCAGTTGCATATTGAGTATCTCCAAGGATGGATAACCCACAGCCTCTCTGGGCAACCTGTTTTCATGTTCTATCACTCAAATATCTGTTTTAAGTGTTTATATGTATTTTGTGAACAAATGTTTCCAGGCATAAAAAGCTCTGTTTTGAGATCTTCTCCTGCCTTTAATTCCCCAGGAAAAAGCCTGTGGAGAGGAGTAAGAAACTCTTGTTGTATTATGTGTCTTTCTTCACCTCCCCGTTTGTGGTCTTCTCCTGGAATGTTATCTTCTACATTGCTTTCCTGTTGCTCTTTGCCTACGTCTTGCTCATGGATTTCCAGAAGGAACCTACCGTCCTGGAGATAATCCTTTATGTGCTCGTCTTCATTCTGCTTTGTGATGAAGTGAGACAGGTAGGCAGCCCTTGCAGACCAAAAATGTTTAATGCTAGATGCTTAATTTCCTCTCTCCCTGCTGTACTTGCACAAGGCAGTGCAGGCTATTTCTAAGTTACAGGGACCTGCTTCCTGTGAGAGATTCGGGCAACTTGAGGAACAGTTTTTGTTTTCTGATGTTTAATTCCTACTTATGCTACAGAATCTGCAGTGTCTATGGGCCAAGAGGAATATATCTGTTTGTGTACTGTAGTATTTGGGTTTTCTTGTTTGTAGTTTTTTCTGGGGATGTGTGGGGTGTGGCGTGGGTGGGATGGGTGGGTTGGCTGGGCTGTGAGAATAAGCTGATACCACTAGGAGGAATATCTCTCAGGTATCTCAAGACCACTTGGCTCAGATTGTCAAAGTGATTGATGACACAGAGGTTAAATTTAACAGAAGCTGCATCCAAATGCATCCTTGTAGGTTAAATGGTTCCTGCTTTCTTCTCGCATACCTGCTTTTTGGGACCAATGAGCCAGAGGCAACACTTTCTCATTGCATGTTAAGCATTTATTTCTAATGATCTTTTAAGTCAAAAGAGCAGTTTTTGCTGCTTTCATGTAATCCTCAGGATCAGCTTTGTTGTGTGGGAGCAGCCAGCTTGCATCCCCTTAGCGGATACGCTCCTCCCTTCACATGGAGGACCATGTTATTGAAGGAGGCCTGCTAAAAAGGAAATGTTTTCTAGAGTAGAAATGTCAAATCAGTGCTTGTTCTTTCTCAGTGTTGCTTTGTGCTGTCTGTGAAGATGCAGGTTTTGAGGCAGGCCTTTCCCCACCAGTCAGCATTTCAAGTGGTATAGAAGAGAGACTGGGGAAACTGGGAAAGAAATGGGTGTGTGATTTCAGTGCGGCGCTTTCTGTTTGACCTGTAAAGTGTGAGCCTCCAAAGGGAGCATTTCTAAGTGAACCGCTAGATCAGGACACTCTGCTACAAAATTTCATATATGAGCTTAGGTCAGGACGCCCTGCCACAGAATGTCTTACATGAGCTCAAAAGACATTGCTAAGTCTTAGTATTAGTAAGGCTTAACTCACTGCATGGTCTTTGTAGAATTTAATAGTCAATGTGGTACCCTATTTAAGGCAACTTCACTCCCTAAGGAAAAAAAGGAAAATACTCTCCAGTATGATGAAAACACTGATGGAGTGTTTATTGCTGCTGATTTAGGTTCTGGTGTCTCTGCACTACACTTGCACTTTGTGTGTGCTCAGCAAAAACCCTGGGGAAAGCCGTATAGAAACTTTTTTTTCCTGCTG